TTCGGTAGGACTCCTTGGACAGGTGATCAGCTCGTCGCAAGGCCTCTACCTGTGCACAAACACAGAAAAACGCACACACACAAACTAAACATCCATGCCCTGAGTGGGATTCAAACCCACGATCCCGGTTTCCGAGCGAGCGAAGACAGTACATGCCTTACACCGCTCGGCTACCGTGACCAGCCAACCAACCAAATTAGTAGTGACAATGATCTGCAGACTTGCATGATACCCAACTTGAGTATTCAGAACTTGTGCTAGTCACTCACATTCTTCCTATAAGCCACGCGTACATTGCTGAGAAAATCCTGTTTGGCTGGCGTGCAACATGGCGCTTCCATTTGATATGCCGCATGCAATACCTGAATTAGCGGTAGCCAACCTATGAAACACATATTTGTGACGTGCAGGTTATCATTGTTTGTGATTCTGAAAAAAAAAGAAGAAAATGCTTGATACTGTGGAATGATTTGATAACACCGTCCAGTGTGACTCGATTGTGTATATTAAATGCCCTTACATGTATCGGTCAATTTATGACCATCTTCAAAAGACTACTATTATAAAGGTCATAGTACATCAAATCTAGTCAAAACTTTTATATGAATATTTTAAGTAAAATATAGTTGAGTTAGAAAATATTGAAATTCTTAATATATAAAATCTTAAACCACTAAGGTTCGTGTCTTCATGCCTCTTCTACTGACGGGAGATACCCTTAGGAGTATGGACTGTGCTCATGAGTTGCTTCTCCTTTCGCTAGTTCCTCAACACAAGATGAATAATTAGGAAATCGGACAGACTTATAAACCAGATTTAGAGCCGTACTAACTATCTGCTTTGGTGTTTATAATGATCTCCATTTATCATGATCGAAACAGGCCAAAACATATTAAGCAACTGGCTAATTTTATGGAATAAAATTCGTACGACTGTTACATATAGAAATGTATGGACGGTTTCCAGTCACATTTGAAATAGTATATTTAAGGGAAAGTAGCACCTTTACAAAATTTATTGTTGCCTTTATATTTGTTAGAACTACTGGAAATATTTCCATTCGTGTGTTGCGGATCCTGTTGTATATGTCACTAATATGTAAATATGTCCGTCGATCACAACTTTATACTTTCGATAAATAACTGATAAAAGCAAATTATTGATAAATTGGTTTAATTTATTAAAATATCCCAAATTATGCAACAGCAAACACATCAATAGCAGCGAAACCCCACCAAAAAACAAAATAAAAGAATGCATAAAAAATAAAATAAAATTTTTATATATAAAGAAACAACAATTAAATAAAATCATATAATCAGTACAAATCAACAGCGCGAACAAAGGGGGTACACATGGAATGGCATCTTTCAGAATATTACAGAATAATGGATGAACAAACCTACCCGCAACAGAAACACAAAACGATAAACATCCGCAAACGCGTGGAGAACCTAACAAACATCAAAGTTACCAAGGGCGAAATGCAATTCTTAAACAAAGGCCTAAAATAGATCTGCATTATAAGCACGAAAACTGGATAAAACCCCAAACTATTCAAGCAGACACCGCAATGTACCAACTTAACGAAGCAGAACAAATATACAAGGGACAGATAATGGCAAATAACTTGCAGAAAATTATCAACAAAGAAGTAACACAAAAGAAAAGCACAACTCTAAAAATATAAGATTTGAGGTTTTCACGGCGCCACATCGCAGAAGACGGCGTTCTTAAACACTAAGAATGAAACACAAAATACGCGAGAGAAATCTTATCAATAGTATAACAAAGGAAATTAATAAAATCATTTAATAATAACAAAAGTAGGAAACACTGTAGTCACGAAACGAATATAATAAAAAAGTCGAGGAATTTATATCGCACAATACGTATCTTTACTAAAACTGCCACAGGACAATAACCTGATCAGTAATTCCACAAAATTGAAATACACTAACACGAATCCCAGTGCACCACACATATACGGGACAATAAAATTACATAAATACAATGAACCAATTCGACACATAGTTAAACAGCCAAGTATATAAATCTAGCAATATACACAGTAAAGAAACAAAAGATATAATACAACTACCAGGCACCTTTATCCTACACAATTCCATGAACCTCATCCATAGACTTAAAGCGATTCACATAAGTAACAACGTAAAGCTATGCTTTTTTGACATCACGAATATGTACACAAATATCCCTACAAAAGAATTTACCGACGTAATCAAAACATCCTAGAAATGACACATCATAAAAACAAAAGAAGAACTAGTTATGTTAATAAACACAATTAGAAACCGAAACTGCTGACTGTTCAACAAGCAATACAATAAGCAAGACGAGGGATTAGCAATGGGAACTCCAACTTCAGCAGTCTTGGCGCAAATATTTAACCAACACCTTCAACATACCGGCATCATTAATATATTCAAAAACACATCGATTACAGCAGATACGTTGATGATTTACTGATCATACTCTCATCCAACGAAAACATTACCAATATCGAGAACACCATAGCAGACTTCAACACTATACACCCTAATATCTAATTCACAATCGAAAACGGAACACAAAACAAATAAACTTACCTATTCTTAACCATTACAAACATCCACAAGACACTCACATTTAACATATTTAGAGAACCCACACCTGCATATATGATTACTCTTGTCACCCACGAGAACATAAGAACGCCGTAATTAACCACCTCACCAACCGCATGAACAAATACCCAAACACAAACAAGAACAACAAATTACAACATATGATAACAAGACTACATAACAAGAACTATCCTATTTGAAACACGAAATAAAACGTAAATCAAACCATATGGAACAGAAATCACCACCAGAAACAAACAAAAATGGGCCACCTTTGCAATTATCGGAAATGAAACAAGAATCATCGCAAGAGTGTTTAAAAATACAGATACACGGACATAATTTAAAACCACAAAAGCGATAAGAATCGTATAAAACCAAAAAAAAAACACATTTAGATACTTTTAATGAAAGTGACATTTACAAATTAAAATGTAACGATTGCCCGTTAAAGTACGTAGGGCAAACAGACAGAAATCTTCGTACACACATTAAGGAACACCTTCAGTTAATACAGACTAATAAATCAAACTCCAAATTGCACAACACACGTACGATAAAGTAGAGAAAATAACGGATAAACTCCACATCAAAAAGGGGGCTCCGTCCTAAATACGTGGGAACGCTTTTATATACACGATCTTAGTACATCAAAACTACAAATGAACGACACGCACTTAGACACACATAACCCCATATTTAATATAATTATAAAACATATCCCACATAATAAAAAACCATTCCCCCGTCCCTAGCGCAAATCTCAGTTCACTCTGAATAACGTAACCAGACACAGCGTACAGCATCGGAGCAACTGTGGCACCACACGTAATTATATCAGTTAATAACACATCTACACCAAATTCCCATTCACATTACATTAACATCACATGAAACCCATTTTTCAGAAAACCATAAACGAACTCCACTGCGTTAAAAACTTACTAACAAAGAATAGCAGGGCCGCGCCATAGCTCAAGCGGTTAGTCGCTGGCTTCCCACCGCGGCGGCTCGTGTTCGATCCCGGATCTGGTCAAGTGGGATTTGTGGTGGACAAAGTGGCGCTGGGGCAGGTTTTCTCCGAGTACTTCGGTTCCCCTGCCAATCTTCATTCCACCAATTGCTCTACAATCACCCTCGCCTATCATCTTGGGCCGGTACAATAGGCCAGAAGTGGCCGCAGTACAAGGGACTTAGTCCCACCCCACTAGCAATAAAAAAAAGCAAAGAATAGCAAATAAGAACGTGATCAGTGAGTCCACCACAGAACGCCAAAAAGAGTAATTTTACACACACAAAGCTACAAGAAAAACATACAACACAACTATTCCCTCATAATATAGTCTTAATTATTTTTTTTCGGATAAAACACCCGTGCAGGGCGACACCCATGCCATTAGTATCAACGACGTATACCGCATAACATCAATATTTGCATACTGCGAAACGTCCCATTTCATCCATTCAAAAACACAAAAGACCACTGACACCAACAGCCTCCTCCCCATAAGGACAAAAGTCAGAAAAAATATTACCACCTCCTAGTACACTTCATCCATAAACCCCCTATACCTAAGAAGACAATTAGCAAAAACTGAAAATAATGATTTAGACAAGGTTTACTAAGGCACGAAGAGTATTTTAGCACAGTTAAACATCTTGACCTTATGTAAAAACTTGTTTTATGACAAGACTATTAGCAATGGATCCATTGCATCATGCAGGTAGTAACTAACGTGGATACATTCTGTGGTTTATAAATGCCTGATGATGTCCGTATAAGACCGAAACGTGTAACATGAAAATATTTTAATAAATAAAATTTATTTATCGACACTTTGATTTTGAAAGTATGAATTTGTGATCGACGGATATATTTTACATATTAGTGGAAATATATTTCCCGAATACATTCTTGAGTCGACCTCCGTGTTCATACAGCTGCTTCAGAACTGCCATTGAAAGTAGTTCACATTGTATGGAACCTGAAAGTAATCTTCCTTGCATTTCCTGAATATTTATTATAGCTAGAAAATATCAGAAGAGAAGTTGTATCTCTTTATTATTTGTCTATATTCTGTTTTGTGTCATGCGACATAATTTGCCTCAAACGTATTAACCACATTGAACGAAATAGTGTTTGTGATTTGCAGGTTTCCAGGAGATTTAGTATGGCAAGGTCCTTACTTTCTCTCTTTAAATCTATCAGATTATAAGCATATGATATAATTTGCAGGAAATTTACTGTGACAGGAGCGTCATGTCTGTCAGGCCGCAAACATATTCTGTGACCTGCAGGAGAATTACTATGGCCAGAGCTTTGTTATCTAGTTTTATGTCTGTCAGGCTGTAAGTAATTCTTATGGTTTACAGGAAGTTTACTGTGGTAAAGAGACCATCTGCACTGTGGACGGCCTTCACTTCAACTCCATGTACAACGCCCGCGTTAAGGCTTTCAACAGCACAGGAGAGGGAGAGTACAGCGAACTGATCGGTCTGCAGACAGCAGAAGGTAAGCCTGCATCTAATTTGTTGTGACAGCTAAAATATGATGACTTGTCTGCTACATTGAGATCACGGAAAGAAGTCCCATGCATAGTGGGGATGATGCCATTCGAGAGTTCCTCCACTTTGACCGCTGTTATATTCCCCTCCAGCCACCCTTGGAGTATGCCATCAAGCAAGCAAAAGCTAATGACTGCCTGCATTCGCATGAAGACACTGGCTAGACGAGTAGGAGTGCAGGGATGTACGCTGGAAGCGGGAAGCATAACAGCTCGAGGGAGATATGAAGGAGGTAGTTCCGTGTAACATGTTTCCCTGGCCTAATTCTATCACCAACTTTGCGTAGTATTTTGATCAGACGCAATAGAAACATTTCTAAAATTTCTCCATGTAGCATCCACGATGTATAGACATTTGTAAATTTACTAGTAGGCATGTTACAATTTAAAAAGTGAACGGTAAATACAAAAATAAATCAGCAGTGAGGAATTACATTACTTTATTTCCTTCGTTTAGCTGTTATGAATAATTAAACACGTTTTTTTTTCTTTCTCTGTGGCTCCACAGCCCTTTGAACCTTGAACGGGTGATCAGCTCGTCCCAAGGCCTCTAACAAACACAGAAAAACGCACATACACAAACACTAAACATCCATGCCCTGAGTAGGATTCGAACCCACGATTCCGGCTTCCGAGCGAGCGAAGACAGTGCATGCCTTAGACCGCTCGGCTACCGTGACCGGCGTTCAAGTTCCATACCCACATAAAACAACAGATATGATTATAGTTTTATGTGTAGGAAGCTAAGAGGAAATTATATTTCCCATCCATACAGTCCAATTTTAATTCAACATACGAGTAAAAGCAATTTATATAGAAACTATATATTAGTATTCATGTAAAGTGTTTATATCATTATGAAAATTATTACGCGGATATGTCACTTCGAAATATATTGACATCTCTAGTACTGGGGCAGTTATTGTTGCACCAGTTCATGTTCTCCCGGATCGTGTAGATTTCATTTCTGCGTACTTGTGTTAGATCAAGAATTAAGTGGCCTCCGTAGTCTAGAGGTAACGTTCCCACCTTATGACTCGTAGTACGCGGGTTAAAATACCCGGCGGAGGTCGTCGAATTTTTAAGGGCGGAAAAATTCAGGGAACAAGTCCTCCGGGAGGGACTTTAAGCCGTGGGTCCCGTGTCGTAGCTTTACGGCACGTAAAAGAACCTCATATCTCCAAAGGAGGTCACTGAGCCAAATTACGGACGTTTCCCGCCGAACAGCAGTCTCTAATACCTCTGGTAGATGGGGGAAGCATTATAGATACCTCTCAGCTAGTAGAGCCGGTCTCGCTGGCTGTGCGGGACTGATGGTAAGCACCAGTACCGGTAGGGTATAGAGACTGGTAGAAATCATAGAGGGAAGCACAATGGACCAATATAGGTCTAAGTGCATGGGGAAACCCACCCTCTCCAATAACTAACTAACTAACTAGATCAAGAATTCGATTTATGCTGCGGATATTTAGATGGACATCCTTCTCGCATGACATCAGAGTCGAGTCGATGATAGCCCTTCGTCCATCTTTCTCTCGTTGCCCTAAAAGACACTATCATGGCTCTGTAATTGGCGAGAATAAGGTTGTCATAGGATGAACGGTGTGTTTGTTGGGCTTCCCGAGGCTGGATTGGCTGGGTAAGGGTTGCTGACACACGCAGTCCTCCAACTCTCCAGAACTACTCTGCACCCTCTTCATCGTCATCTTCCCTATACGCCTCTGGCAAACCAAATCCACCCACCCTCCCTCGTTGGGGGATGGAGGAAATCGGGAGTCAAAGGAGGGTTAAATGATAGCGAAACAAGAGCTGCAGAGAAATGGGAGAGTCGACTGAAATAAAATTTGAGGGATGTGCATTGGTGGCAGGAAGTTTCTCTTTGTGGTATTATTCCAGACTGTGATGAGTGATCTGTAAAGGAGGGTGGATTACTTTTTATGGAACGTTTGGCACCCTTCGTTTGGAAACTCACAATTATTACATATGGGATCACATGATGAACATGAATGGAATCTTCATTCACATTTATATATAGTATGAACACACAACTTCTGTTTTCGAATCTTGAGTGCACCTTATTTGAGTATTTAAGACTTTACAAAATGGCAGCAGTATAATTGTCATGTAAAACTCTTCGGTTTCCTCCTTACTAAACTGCAAGAGCGTCCATATTTACAAGCATGTTTCGTAACAGCTAATTATGCCAATAGCAGTCGTTATGTCTGCATTTATAAACCGCTGGTTATCAAATATTTGCTATGCACACTGGATTCGCACTACAACGAAAACACGACGAATCAGTAACCGTTTGTAGTGTGTCATTTGTTGCGTAATGTACTCATCGTTAACCTTCTTAGTTCCATCTCGAAATATATTGCCCTCCATTTTGACTTCCAAGTAGTCGTCCACATCATCATCATCACATAAGTTATCCGTAATATACATGAGTGTATATATGCCTTTATATGTGTACATAAGTATTTGTGTGCGCGCATGCTTGCACAACCACAGAGGTTATCTGTATTGGAAACTCAAATTTCATTTAACGGCATTTTTTTTTTTTTTTTGCCTAATGTTCAAAGTAGCGAACTGTATGAGACCGAGATGACTGGTGTTTCGGTAACACTCTAAACTTGTATTTGGGGGGTTCTCAGTTCGAATCTCGGTCCGGACACCCGTTACCGAGAGTGAAGCTTTTATGCTTTTACTCAGTCCCTCCAGGCAAATTCCAGGATAGTATCGAAATTATACCACGACTGCATCCTTCTAGATTCTTTCCATTCCATCCTTCCACTCGAAGCTATGCAGTATAGATATTGATGGAGTCTTAGCTCGTCAAGGAATGTCCTACTTTCCATGAAACCTGATGGCCCCTTGTCATATTCACAAGACCCCGCCAGTTGTCCCTATCCTGAGTTAATTTTTAAGCAGAACTATGTGTTCGTATATTCAGTGAGGAGCCCACAGCAACGCTTTGCTGTCCAGCTGTCAGGGGTTCTAATCGCATCAGAAGCATCGAGGTTACTTATGTAGCATAGCCACCGCGCCTCGTCACAGTCAGCTCCGACCGGCTCACTGTCCCCGATGCTGCATGGTTCCTGTTGCAGGAACGCCGGACTATGAAGCTCAATTGTTTCCCTGCAGACATCTCCAGGAAAAACTGGCTTTGGACTATATCCCCGCACTTAGTTACCCTACTAAGCGGCTTCCGTAGTCTAGAGGTAACGTTCCCACCTCATGACTCGTAGTACGCGGGTTCAAATACCCGGCGGAGGTCGTCGAATTTTTAAGGGCGGAAAAATTCAGGGAACAAGTCCTCCGGGAGGCACTTTAAGCCGTGGGTCCCGTGTCGTAGCTTTACGGCACGTAAAAGAACCTCATGTCTCCAAAGGAGGTCACTGAGCCAAATTACGGACATTTCCCTCCCAACAACAGTCTCTAATACCTTTGGTAGATGGGGGAAGCATTATAGATACCTCTCAGCTAGTAGAGCCGGTCTCGCTGGCTGGACGGGACTGATTGTAAGCACCAGTACCGGTAGGATATAGACACTGGTAGAAATCATAAAGGGAAGTACAATGGACCAATATAGGTCTAAGTGCGTGGGGAAGCCCACCCTCTCCAATAACTAACTAACTAGTTACCCTACTAGAAGCCGTCACCTGCAGTATAATAATATCGTTTATACAAAACAGTATATTTTCTTCCTCATTGCAGTCAAGATATTCAGTTCTCACCATGTAATAAACTTTTCGATACATGTTAGAAATCTACATATAGAAGGTAATCCAACGAAACATTTCAAAATACGTTGATAATTCGTACATCGAATGTTTATCGTATTTATAAACCAATCAGCAATTTAAGAGTACAGTCTTCTGGGATATGACGCCATATAGTCCGTTGAAAATCAGCTCAACTTTTCAGAGAAACACACCGCGTCCATCTTCAGTGTCGAAGAATAAGCCGGATAAGAAACCAGCGTGAAAATAGGTAGCAGAGTGGAAAATTATCCCTTTACTTGGTACTTGTTTTTACGTTAGTTTCTTGCCCGCCCTATTCTTCGACCCTGAAGATGGAGGCAACATATTCCTCCGTAACGTTGGTTAAATTTAACGGGACTACACGGTCTTATATCCCGGAAGATAGTGTTCTTCATAACCACCGGTGTGAGAACCTCAAATCCTACAATGAGTAATGGTTTGCAACTGATATATAAAGAAAATATTCCCTTCAGTTTAATCTTTGAAATACTATGCAAATTATGTTAGAACGCGGATTAAATTGGAAAAAATACTTACGTCTTTTCGCTATTAATTTGCTTTTCCGTCATTTACATGAATGACGAGCGGAGCGTGATACTGACTGTTGAGTAACGTCTCTTTTTGTGAGACCGAGACTGACATTGGACGAAGGTGTGATTTCTTTTCTCAAATATCCGAGTCCGATATTGGACCGATGAGTCGTTTCCTCTATCGTCTGATTGAGCCCAACATTGGACCGGATCGCTGTTTCCTCTGTCACCGAACTAAGGTCGAATTTAGGCCGCGCCATAGCTCAAGCGGTTAGTCGCTGGCTTCCCACCGCGGTGGCCCGGGTTCGATCCCGGGTCTGGTCAAGTGGGATTTGTGATGGGCAATGTGGGGCTAGGGCAGGTTTTCTCCGAGTACTTCGGTTTCCCCTGCCAGTCTTCATTCCACCAATTGCTCCACAATCACCCTCACCTATCTGGGGCTGGTACAATAGGCCAGAAGTGGCTGCAGTACAAGGAACTTAGTCCCACCCCACTAGCAATAAAAAAATGTCGAATTTGGACCTGTGTATGATTTCAACAGATGTAGGGGTGAGCTCGACATTGTGATGGTGATTTGAGCCCTCAAATGTCAAACTGAAGCTGCCTTTTGTCGTCTTGTTTGTTTTGTCCCGAGCAGTGGTGAGAAATTTTCCTAGTTGGCGGATCATATCACCAGCTTAGGTAGTACTAAGCTTTACTTACCATAAATCTCTATCGATGTAAAATTATAAATGTTCTATTTAAGTCTCCCATTTTTACAAATGAAATTAAATCTAAATACTTATGCCTAATATGAGCCGGTCTAGAAAACCGAGATTAACGGCCGTGGGGATCCGTTGCACTGACCACGTGACACCCTCTATCCACAAAAGCTGGCACTAACTTCGTCGACAAGCCGCGGTCGCTCAGTCGGTATAGTTCGCTTGCGGACTACAGGCCACGGAGTTGTTTATTTTTTATAAGTTTACGAGCCATCTCTGAGCCGATTGTCTAGAAAATGTGGGAGCCTCGACGTCTCACAAACCTGTGGGCCTCCACGGCCTGTTACAGGGAGAGATTTACCTTTTTTATGAATTTAAGAAGCTTAAACTCGACAGAAGAAGGTATAGCAACAAAATGTTCTTTTACATAATATTATTTTAACCTTATAACTAATTAAACTGTATTTATAAGTTGCACAAAGAACACATAGTTCCTATGTACGTGTTCTCTCTTTGTCTCTCTCTCTCTCCCGATCTTATACCCGTTGTAACGGACGGTTTGAAAATGTTATCGGGCCGACTTTTCTCCCCCCATGTACGAGTATAGAGGCTACAGAGAGCAAAACGCGTATGACTGATGTGTGTTTTATACAAATAATGTTATTATGATTTACCTCAGGATCATGGAATTCAGACAGTTCTTTTAAGTAATTGAAACATGATTATGCTTTTCGAAAACATTCCGAAACTGTGACTTTTTACTTTGTAAAGTCTTTGGAATTCTAGTAATGGATTAATGAGGGTAATGGACACGATTGTCTCAGGAGACTGGCTTCTTTCAATAATGGAAAGCAGGCGTCGCAAATTCTTTCGAAGTCTCCTTCTATAAACTGTTTTCTGTGAATGAACATCTTCTTCATAATTGTGTGGATACCCGCTAGGTATATCACAAAATCGTATGCAGAAAGCTGGCTGGTGGGGTTATGAATATTTTCTGCGCTGTTGAATCAATCATGATGATGAAAAAATGGTTGAGCCCCTTTCGTCATCAACACGGCGTACCCCAATCCGCTGAGCAAAACAACAGTGTGCTGGTTCATACAGGAAGATAGGCGATAGGAGGCAATAGAATCTCATTACCATAGGAGAGATATAGACTACGCTGAGTTCCATTACGGAAATTACTATCCCGTGTTGGCATCCCCCACTCCTCTCCTACAACCCCCGCGACAATTTCCAATCCTGTCGTAGGCAAAATGAGACGGAAAAGAGACTATAGGAGAAGTTGCGAAGATTAGGGGTTGTTACTCTTTCTCCAGTAATGCCTTAGTATTTAAAGTAAATCGAATGGCTATTCATTTATATCAGTGTAATTTTCTTTTATACCTATTATCACGTGACTTGATGATGTCATGCATTTATACCATTTTATTGAACGAAAACTGTCTACTTTGCTAAAATTGCGTAAAGTTATCACGTTAATCACGTTGGAGCTTGAAAGCACACCTCTTACCTTCGCACAAAGTGCAGGTTGTAGAGTTGCCTTTTTTAAGAAGTGCACATCAGTAACCACGGACCTGAAGGGCAAACTTATTACAGAGACGAGATTATAAGTAAAATCACAGTGCAGAAACTCATGCCGGTATTGTGACGCAAAGTTACGCACGAAGTCAACGTTAGCAATTTGAGGGGCATACCCGTTTCCGAAATTGGGAGGGGCCATAGTTGATCTCTAGAGAGGACAGGTTGCTAACTCCATGGAACAGAGTCATTCTTGAGCTTACATTCGCTCAACTAGCCAAGAAAATCTCTGCCTTTTATGGAAACCTAAGGTTCATTACCGTGTTCACAATAACAATTAGATTTTAATGTAGATATTCATTTGTTTCTAACAATGTGAGCCGCAATAGATCAGTCGGTAAAGCGAGCGGGCTACAGGGTGGGCGACCGAAGATCCGGGGTTCAATTACTCCTAGGGGTAAGATATATTTCTCTACTCCATAGCTTCCAGACGGGCTCTGAGGCCCATGTAGCCCCCTATACAATGGGCAACAGGGGTTGTTGTTATTGTTGTTGCTGTACTAGTAGTAGGATGGGGAGGAATGGGCATGCCTATCAGGATTTCCTGCAAAATCGCTTCCATTGTCCAGTCTCCATGTCATGTGCCGTCTGTTGAAACTGAGTCGTGAAAATGATCCACGTGTAATCGGCTCAAAGATGGCGGTAAGGTTGTCAGCCTTACGCGCCGGCTTCGCTTTACTCACCAGGAAAATTATTTAATTAATTCCTGGTACTCATTTCTGTTAGATTCTGAGTAAACCCCAGGGCATAGTGCGGCTGGAAGGATTAGGTCTAATGAAAAAAAATCCAGTGACCTTATCGGGACTTGAACCCGCGACCTTCCCGCTATGCGAATTTAAAGAGAAATTAGATCAAAGGCCTTAAGTCAGTGCTCAGAGAGGTCGAATATCCTGTGAAATTACATGGGTTTGAATCTGAGGTTTCTCTTTATTTGCAGTTATTTTATGCATCTTCAAGCCTCTGGTAGTGAGCTGGAGAAGTGGCAGTCTGAATGACATAAATTTATATTCAAGAGACTCCGTAAAAAAATGGTGTTCATATTATTTAATTTTCCAAATTAGCCATACGTCGCTTTAATATATGCATTAGACAATTTTATCCCCAACTTATGGGTGACGGTAAAGTTGTCCCTGTGCTTAATTATGTTCATTGTTCTTTCCAACAATTAGCAGTATTTTGTAGCCCCTGCAGTTGTTTTTGTCAGTGGTACTAATGATGTTTTATTTGGTAATTTCTTCACCGCGCAACTAGACTAGACGTATGTTTATGTCTCTTCTCTTTCTATGGATAACAGCATCACAATTTCATACTCCTTCCCTAATTACAACAGTGACTGGAACTTGACAATTAATCCATAGAGGAACTGGTATTTTCAGGCGATATTGCAGAATAGTATTTAATATCTGAAAAAGGAACTGGGACCCAAAACCAGAGATGACTGTATATACACACACACACAAAATCACACATATTTACTCTCAGTCACATGCTCAAGCAGATACACCAAAGAACAGGGACACCATCTTCATGTAAACATGCCTACAGATAAAGGACTTTCTTATGAGTTCATGAAGGCATTATTTTCAGGCAACAAGGAGCAGAAAATATGATAACGTTATGATTTGTTGTGTTGCAGTTGCATGGTTCACATTTGACCCGTGCCTCAGTCCCCCAGAGCTCCAGTTCTCGGAGGATAACTGCACAGTGTCTTGTGAGGGCTATGAGCATAGAGTAGCCCTTGGTAGTGTGGGCTTCTCACGTGGTATTCATTACTGGGAGTTCTCAATCAACAGATATGACTCAGATACTGATCCCAGCTTTGGAATTGCGCGCCTTGATGTTGCCAAGGACCAGATGCTTGGTAAGAACTGGAATGAGACAGGGCAGTTCTCTGCCTCACTATACTAACAGTCTTTAGGTGTAAGGACTGTTAGGTGAGACAGGACCAAGATAGAATGCCACTTCCCTCTTTAATGCATTTAATGAGACAAGAGAGGAATACAAAAATATTTCTTTATAACACATCACTGAATCCTTTGGCAGAATTTAAAGCAACAACCATTACAATTTCTTACAGTGACAGAGTGAACTGCTGATGTATTAGGGATGCTGCATTATCTGTAGAAATTTTGTAGCATCAGTGGGATGATTAACTGTGCCGCTGAAGAATGCTATCTTCTGGAAGACAACCAATGTTTCAGGGGAGCACATCACCCCCATCCTTAGGGTTGAAGAGTAACTAGCTTGTTATCTGCTTCTTGCTGGCTTCTTCCTTGGCATACTCTGCGACCCTGATGATGAAAGCGACGTGTTTCTCCAAAACATCAGTTGACTTTCAACAGACAACATGATGTTATATCGCAGAAGATACAATTCTTCATAGTCTCTGCTGTGAGAACTTCAGATCACATATAATATTGTTCATAATTTTTGTCAATCCATTTTAAGTTCTAAGCAGCAACCAGAAATTTCTGTTCTTTAAAATAAAGAATTACACAGGGCTACTAAGGCAGTGGTCTGTGCTTGTAAGATCACAGTGTATAGGGCAGAGGTTGGCAAAATTTTAAGGTAGCTGGGTCAGTTTTAATTATGTTCTTAGAAAATAACTTCTCAGAAAGGCACATTATAATTTCCATACTTTCTTCAACTGTTGCCAAAGAGAAATTTTGCACCAGCACATCTGTACTGGTTTATATCATTGTCTTCTACATTGTTATCATTGTTGTTATTATATTGAATTTGATATATACAAGTTAATGCAGTACAATATAATAACAATGTAATTATTATTTATTTGTATACAAGAAACAAGAATTATGCAAATATACATATAAATATATGTATAATATCTATATATTATTCATGACTCAATGAAAAATATGCTGCCTTATTAAATGCAACATCTATCCTTGGATATTTTAGAGAGCTGTTCAAGTGTATTATTATGAATTAATTACAGATGCTCTGTTTCCATTAATTTGACTTTTCTCCTTACATTTGTTCAGAATAATGCTCAAAGTTAAGACTTCCCATGCCTCTTCTGCCACTTACATAGGTACCCATTGTTCCTGAAATGGTCTGAAATACTTACCACCAAGACCAGTGATTTCTTACTCATAATATTTTGTCATTTGCACGTTAGTGGGATGAATCAACACATGTGTGAAGACTTATTTATTTATTTTGTATGTTATTTTTGGCTGTTATTAATAAAGACCTGATAGTTCCGACCCATATATAGGCTCATTCTTGATTCTACAAATGTCAAATTTAGGGGAAAATTATAAAATATTTGGAATTGAACCAAATGAAATATGTTTTTCTGATGAAAATAATGAAGAGTAAATAAACTTTTAGTTTCTTAAAATATGAAAATGAAAGTGATTTATGTAAAAATATTGAATTCAGTTTTTCCATTATTTTTTCCCTCCAGCTGATATCACATTCTTATGGCGAAAGAGCCGACTAAATATTGTTTATGTGTACCTATATATCCACAGTTTTGCAGGTAAGATTAAGAAATCTATAGGTGTTTGTGTGATAGAAATAATGCCTTGGCCTGCACAGGTGTTCTGTCATGGTTTGATAGGCCTAAATCTACACATTTCTTATGCCCTTAAGTAAATTGCAGTAACCTTCATTATAACAGACTAACAGGTGGGACAGGGTGTCTTATTGCCATTGTCCACTATAACCAAGTGAAAGGGTATTCACAGAAGCACAGCATGGAATACGTAGCCAGTACACACAATAAACATAGAATCACACTGTGTGATTAAATAATAGTTTTTATATTGGGGTTGCTTTTTATTTTAAATAGTTCTCTGACTACAGAACCTTCTTAATGCCTCAACATCTCCAAAAATTCATAATTGTAGACAGCCAGGTTTCATCCATTATATCTGAACTGTGTTATATCTAGGTCCATTACAAGGAGGGTTTTCTCATAGTGGGGGGTGGAGTTGAGTCGGGTCCACTCGGCACGGTGGCCACTGATCAGCCTATCGTACCTGCCCCAGGTGATTATGATGACAAAGAATTTGGTGGAATGAAGATTGGCAGGGGAAACCGAATTACTCGGAGGAAACCTACCCCAGCACCACTTTGTCCACCACAAATCCAACTTGACCAGACCTGGATTTGAACGCAGGCCACCGCAGTGAGAAGCCAGCGACTAACCTCTTGAGCTATGGCACAGCCTATGAGGGTTTACTATATATTAAAATTGGGTACATCTACTTCTATAAACAGATTAGTATTTGAAACTCTCATTAACTTCCTTGAAAAAAGAGAAATGGCCTATATTTCCTTCATGAGTTACAATTTGAATTTTCCAGGCAAGGATGATAAAGGCTGGAGTATGTATATAGACAGGCAGCGATCATGGTTTATGCATGGGAGTGTTCATGAGCAGCGGTCAGAAGGAGGGATCCAGCCTGGCTCAACTGTTGGTGTACTACTTGATCTTGACAGGCATCAACTTAGTTTCTACGTGAATGAAGAACCACAGGTTTGTGTAGCATCGCACGTTAAACTGTTGGTCAACTCTGCCAGCAACATTTAGATCTGCCATCCTCTCTCATTATCATGCAGGAGTCTGCATATTTCTTATTCCTGGTAACATAAACTGGATTCTGATACTGCAGAATTACAGAAATGTCATAGTGCCACTGCTGGAGAACAAGAAAGAAAACTGAAGGGAAGTGATAGCACAGGGTAAGACATCATACTAATATTAAAAAATTCCTGGGTCTGATCTCCATCTGGATATGGGATCAGATTTCTGTGTATGTAGATGTCACAAAAGAGAAATATTCTTCCATGAAACTGCAGGTTCTTTCTGCTAACAGAATCTATCTCACTTGTGCTCTCTTCTGAGAAATACAAATTCATTCTTCTCGGTGAGTAGACAGAAGCCAGAGTAGTTGATAAGAACAAAACACAATGAATTTGTCACTGGCAAACACTGTGTATTGAAATGTGCATCAGTTCTGAATGAAATGTTCTGTTGCAGGGCCCAATAGCATTTCAAGACTTGTATGGAGTGTTCTACCCAGCAGTGAGCCTGAATCGAGGTGTATCTGTTACGCTGCACACTGCCATTGATCCACCATCAGATAGTGATGAGAGTTGAGAAGCATCTGAACTAAAACTCCTGCCTACATATCTTTCTCTTAGCAATTCAGAATAGAACATCCTTATCGCCCTCACCAAAGTGAGAGAGTCTCCGTTTCAAAACCTACAAACTCTGTATACTATTCTGCCCATAAAGTATCCGACCATGGGCCAGGAAAACAAAGTTCTGTAGCTGGGTGGTTACAATACCTAATCGCCTTCAAAGTAGGCCCCTTGTGACTCCACACACTTATCCCAGTGGGCCTTTCATTGCTGGAAGCAATTCTGGAAGGCTTCTTTTGGAATGGCATGCAGCTGCGCCGTCACATTCTGTATGATGTCCTCGCAGCCGTCAAGACGGGAGCCTTTTAGCGGTGTCTTCAATCTCGGGAACAGCCAGAAATCACAAGGAGCCATGTCAGGAGAGTAGAGAGCCTGGTGAACCTGCGGAATGTCATGCTTGGCCAGGAAACCCTGGATCAGGTGTGATGAATGAGCTGGGGCATCGTCATGATGCAGCTGCCAGAGATGCGTGCGTCCCACAGATCTGGTCTCTTATGCCAAACTACATCACAAAGATGGCGGAGGACTTCTTGGTACTACTCCTTATTGACAGTCTGGCCTAATGGTGCGTACTCATGTTGCACAACACCCCGGTAATCGAAAAAAACAGTCAGTATCACCTTCACATTGCTCCGAAGCTGTCATGCTCTTTTGGGCCTCAGGGATGTTGGATGCTTCTATTGTGATGCCTGGACCTTGGTTTCTGGGTCATATCTGTACATCCATGACTCGTCACCAGTGATCACAGTCTTCAGGAACTCAGGATCCCTGTTGGTGCACTCCAGCATGTCCTGTATGACCTCAAGACGGAGTTGTTGCTGCTCCGGGGAAAGCAGCTTGGGCACAAATTTTGCCGCCACTCTTCACATGCCCAAATCCTCAGTTAAATTGTGTTTGCGGAACCTCTGCTGATCCCAACCTCATCAGCAACTTCATGAATGGCCAAACAATGGTCCTCCATGATCAGTATCCGCACTTTTTCAATGACATCAGCATTGACGGTCTCCCGGAACACTGCTCACTGTCTGCCGACATACGGCCATGTTTAAAGCGGTTGAACCACTCTTTAATTTGAGTGACACCCATTGCATCCTCGCCGAAAGCCTGCTGAATTTTGTGAATTGTTTCCGCTTGGGTATCCCCAAGTTTCTGACAAAACTTAACGCAGTATCGCTGCTCCAAGCGTTCTGTCATCTTGAGCGAAATGAGAATGCAACGAACACGTGTTACATGACTTCACTATCTGCTAGCAACAGACACATCCGGCAGTGTTGCAAGTCAGCAAAAAATCATGCATGCGCATGAAAGTCCCTTCTACCACTACGCTCAGTTTCTCCGCCCCTTTTGCCATTACTTACAGCAGCAAAAAATAAAGTCGGATACTTTTTGGACAGCGGTGTAGTTGTAATGGAAGAGATAAACCCAGTCACCATTAGAAGATAAGAAAGGGATTAGAAGTAATTATATGTGATGCTTTGCCATGCATCTAAGCAGAGATGTCAGTACTTTATATTGTCAAAATATAGACCATTATGCAGTATTAAGACATGATCTACCCACTTCTTTTTTGTGAGATAAGTATGCACTCAGCCCCATAAAAGTTTGTTCACATTCTGACATGAAAATTCCATGCTTCCATATCCCTCACCAATAAACGTGTATCCCCAAATCATGAAATTTAAAGTGCTAGATTGATGAGTGCAAATTATAACCACTATGAGAATGTCTTTACATACAAATAAACATTCTATCCAATTGCTTCACTTGTTTGTATCAGACTTGTTACGATTTCTTTGAGTATGCAGTTCAGAATATGTTGTAAAACAGGAAGAATAAGATGTAGTTTACAGAAAAGAAACATAACCCTCAGGATAATGTAACTAAGATGAAGAGAGTATGATAAAATGTTTAATTGAAATTTCACATAAAATTATCTTTATGCTGATATTTATAAAGGTAGTTTTACAGGGCAAATTTATTGGCCTTGGGGTGAAACACAAGATCTCTTGTTAGGGCTGTCAAATTTTCTTTCAAAGATCATGACCTTTGCCTATTCTAAAGCTTAACAACAATCCCAGCATAACAAGAAGGCCATCTTGAGAATTGTGTCCCCTTTGCTCTTCATCATGCACTATTGGCTGATTGTCTGTGATCAATTTCATGTCACTAATCATTCTAATTACAACATTCCACTCTTTTTCTAGTAATTGATGACATGGATTGAACAGAAGGGCTCCAGTTTTACCATCAGCTGAAGTTGATATCTGTGCCAAAATTGGAACACAAACCACAATTTGTGAAATTGTTCATATATAAAAATAAAGATTTTAACTCAGCACTCCAGCAGATATTAGACGACTCAATGAAAGTATCATGCATCATGTCAACCTGTCATACAGTTGCTGATCCCTGCTGTACCTTGCTATGTACCTTATAAATGACCCAGAACAGAAGTCAGAGAAGAGCAGCTCTGCCCTCCAAAATAGTTTATTGAATACAATTCTATATTCGGTTACTGTAAGTGAACTGAGGTGATCACGAAAATGACAGGATACTGCTTGTACATAGAAAAACAAAAGTTTTAAGATAATAGCATGTAGAGTGGAAACCCATACGCGCACATTAAAAGAAACACATTTGAAGAGCAGCTGTTTGGAGAATGATGATTTAATGTATGTGTCTTTTAAGGATCTTAAACTCACCTTTCTAAGAAAGAAGTGTAAATTATACAGGTGTCCCATAAATTAACTATAAGCAGGACTGAAGTTCTGATGAATCTGTGACATGCTCAACATATCCACCATTCATGCTGATACAAATGCACAGAACAGCATGAATTGTTCATAGTGTGTTCTTGCATCATGCAACGAGTTCGCCCTTGAGTATCCTGTTGCCTGTGGTTGTGTAACACAGTACACTAGAGCTGGTTGGTTTTGAAAACTCTCTCCTATCACTTACAATCTGTTTTTCTTACCACCCCTCACCCTCTGTTGTACATACTATTGTAGATACTGAAGCGTTTTAATAGACATAAGGGTGTGTGAACAGTTCCTTGTTGTCAGTATGGTTAAAAGGGATTTTTCTGTATTCAGTGTAAAATCAATTTTGAACTTGCTGGCAATTGTATCAATGTTGTAATTTTTTAATTATTGCGAGATGACCCTGTTGTAAAATAGGGGTGAATAAACTGTGACATACATAAAATGGAGACTGTCAAGCAGTTATACAGAGCGTTTCTAGACAAGTTGAATATGACTTCACCAACCGTGAGAAAAAAAATAATACTAGGAGCTGGGTGTGTTTTAAGTGCTAAGTGGTTATACAGAGACGCCATCAGATGCATAACCATGTGGTTATTATTTATCTTGTATGATTGGATTGGCACCCGTATATTACTCTGTGAAACTCACATTCACTGTTTGGTGGTAAAAGACTTAGCAGTTACAGGCATACATTAAATGAGATGTACTCTGTTAAAGAAAAAGGTTGAGTTACCCTCTCACTATGACCGTGCCATAGCTCAAGCGGTTAGTCGCTGGCTTCCCACCATGGTGGACAAAGTGGCACTGGGGCAGGTTTTCTCTGAGGACTTCGGTTTCCCCTGCCAATCTCCATTCCACCAATTGCTCCACAATCACCCTCACCTATCATCTGGGGCTGGTACAATAGGCCAGAAGTAATCTTCAGTCAGTTTTACTCGTACGTTAGTCAAGACTCAGATGAGTCCTCCATTCCTTAGTGAAAATGAGCAAATTCAGAGAAATTGGTATACCTGTAGTGAGAGGAGTTGTTGAAACTCTGCAATTATTATTTCATAAACTTAACTGCATGTCCTCTGACCACTCATATGTTGAAGCTCTGTAATGCTTGAAAGAAAAAATCTCCATGAATGTGACAGTAAGCGTCCAGAGTTTTCAACCATTTCTTTATGAACAGGGTGATCATAAGTGTTGGACATTCCTGACATGCTTAGGTACATGTGTACTTTTCTGATTGCTGAAAGTGTTTCTGTTAGAAATATTACAAAGTTTAAGCACACTCAGTTCTGCATGTAAATACTTATTTTCAAATGTTTTATACACTGAAAATATTTTAAAAAGACACATAGTGTAATCTGATGGCACAGCAAAGTTCATTCTGCACATGATTACATTTAAAATGCAGAATGGTCAGAACCTAAAGTTGAGCATGTAAATTTGTAATTAAATTAAAATTTAATCTTACCCAAAACTTGTTTTTGCAGTTGTATGTAATTTTTTACAGCCATTTTTATTTATTCTAGTAGTGCCATTGTAAAATCAATTTACATTTACTACATGAAGGCCATGATAACATAACATTATAACTTATACTCCTGTAACATAAGGATCATGTTCTGAAAGAGTTGTCTTTAATATGAACCCAGATTTATGGAATAAAGATTAGAATGAAGTTGATTATTTCTTCTCATTCTTTCAGCCTAACTGCATTAAGGCACACCATACCCTATCTTGTTAAAAACTGTTACTGAATATCAAACTGCTCACTAATTATTTTTTCTAATGGGAACCTCAGATGTACATCATTGGAACAGTTAAATGGTAGGGAACTTTTACATACATGTAAAGATGTTAAAAATGAATAGCTGTTAAGCAGATATCTTCAGAGATGTCCTGTAATCCCTTAGATGGTTAATTTCTGTCTCACTTCTTCCTACTATGGTAAAATAAGAAGATTAAGATAATATTTCAAAACACCTTACTATTGTCAGTTTTTTTTTTAATCATAAAGACAAATCCCAGAAACTTACTGTATATCCAGTTAAAGGTAAAGTTTTCCTTGTATTTAACTAATTAAGCACTATGCCATGAAGGCATCTGGATTAGTGGATGTATAGATTCCATCCAGCTAGTAATCTTACTTATCATTAGTCACTGTACTTTACCACGCTGCTCAACATCTGTTCATCTGTACAGTTTGTGATGATATATGAATAGAGCACATTAAATGGTCAGTTTTTCATGCAGTTTATGCATTTAAGTTTTAAGTAATGCTGAGAAAGTAATATATCCTGTTTCACATGCCCTAATAGACTTCCAACTACAGTATTTATAACACAGCAATTATCATTAGTAGATTTATAATTGTTCAGTGTAAATATTTATATTGTACTTAATATATCACATTATGTTGTATCCTGCTGGTTACA